TTACTTGAATGTGTGGTTCCAGAAAATATCCATACCCCCCCCCCACGTAAGACAACTGGAAATTCACGAGGGGGTGGGGGGGGGTTAAAGTCCCAGGAATTCCGAAGGAGAGGGGGGTTCACGCAGAGCTTGTTTTCCAGAGGGTTCCCTTCTGAACAATACACAACAAATTCCGTAAGAAATACTTGACGCTACTTTGTCTGCTATTATTTTCGAGGAATTGAAACCAAAGCCAAATCAAACATTCTGGCCCATTGAAATAAACCCAAACATCTTGTTCTTTAATTGTATCTTTTATTTTCTGAGTTTACAGCCTCTTCTAAATGAGAAAAAAGGTCTCTTGAAGTTGCAAGCACGAACTGAATGACGCAAACGGGATCAAAAAATGGCCGACCAAAAACCCTTCCCAGTCCCCTGGCCATTGTTTCTTGGGGAAAAGCCAGGTTGCTTGCAGGCTTTGTTTACGAACGATCGAACGGAATCCCAACACGAACGATTTTCGAATTTTCCTTCGTCGTGCAAGCGCTAAGAAATGCCAAAGTGTCTTGAAAACAAACACATAATCAGACTTCAAGACAAGATAAGTTAAATTTTTGATTGGAAAGAAAGAATATTCTTTCTTTGCTTTGGATTAAATTTGTGATTCAAGTTCATTGTTTGTTCTTTCTTGTAAACTCTGTTAGCCGTGTGCGTGTTGCTTGAAAGCGATCGACGGATTGTACGTATATTTTGCCGTAAAACTGAGTCTTCATTTTTTTAGTTTCAAAACCTTTTGGAATTTCCGAGGGGGGGAGGCGATCCATGTGTTAAAAATACTGAAAGTCCCTGGGGGGAGGGCGAGGGTCAATCAAAGATACCCTTGCGAACCGGAAATTCCTGAGGGGTGGGGGGTGAAAACCAAAATGTCTTCTCGTGGGGGGTCTGGATATTTTCTGGAACTCCACACCAATAGACCTTTGCTCTTAAAATGGCCGCCCGTATAAATTCAAAATGATTAAAATTAAACTGAAGGTGGAAATCAGGTGCTAGCCCCTGAAAGAAACAACCTCTTGTTTGGTAAATGTACTAATTTTTGTTAGGTTAGGTTCTACCTGAGTCAAGAAACAGAAGTTGAAAACTGGAAAATTTTAGAGTCCGGACATTTGTATGACTGATACCCCCGTCATAAATATACGTCCTCTAACGTATGATTACCAAACAAGAGGTGGTCTCTTCAGGTGCTCGGTATTGATTTCCCGCTCAGTTTTAAAATGAATTTGGCGGCGGACCAGAGTTGGAGAAAGGTCTATTGAAGTGTTTGGAAAGTCCCCTTTCTTTTATAATACCCAACTAGAACTCAGTCAGGCTCTTGCAGTAATTTAGCAGGCAGGAGTCCTCTGTACCCCCCCCCCAAAAACAAGTCAATAACCACGGGGCTACAGAATGGCTTACAAACAAAGTTTATATGCTGTCGTGTGGACTCCAGGAATGCCTTTTGACAGCAAAATGTTTGTTTTCTTTTCAGTGGACGTTTGGAATGACAAACTCCACCATGTACTATTACACCAAGTCATGAGAGGTGAGCCAATATTTGTGGGGGTGGGTTTGGCTGTATACTATGTAGGCATAGGATCCATATTACGCAGTCGTCTGGTCGTCCGTGACGACCAAAACGTCGTAACGGACGACCAAAATAACTTGAATACTCGTCCTTTGGACGAGTAAAATCTGAGTCCTTAATTTGCCATATGAGTACCTGCCTTCTATTGATTCCTAGTCCAACTGGAACTTTCAGAAAAAAGAGACAAATTTGCAGCTTTCCTTTTCGCGATCGAATCATAATTTTGGGCACCATGTTTGATAATGCCGGTATTTACATGAGTCACATGATTGCAGGCTCAATTTTTTCATGTTGTCAACCGCTGTTATTTCTCTGATGTACTGCAGACATTCAAATGCTGAAAACGTGGCTTGGACAGCTGATCGTGTAAACAAATGTGGCGGATATTTTGGATAGGCGTTATCGCTGCTCCAGCCAAGAAAAAAAAGAAGGTGAAAGTGAAGCCTGGCGAAAAAAACAATGCGAATATGAAAAGGAGGAAACGACAGTGTGCCTTCCCACCTTGTGTCGGCCAGAAAAAACAGGCCCTGGCTGAAATTTGTGCCTGCATTGCTATCATCGTCTGCCACATCGCAAACTGCTTCGGCTGGAGGCAATATGTTTTGCAAAATTTACCAGTCAGCGTCCCAGTTAGACAGATCACTGGCCCAGAAAAAAAATGTTTTTGTAGATGCCGGCTGCACTGTGACATCGCTTCGCCTGGAGTCTTCTATAAAGATCCACAAAGCGTCTTTCAAATCACTTAATAACGATCGTGGCCGCCAAACGTCTACATGTACATTGTAGCGCGATGCATTATACGATGTTAATAAAAAACGCAAACGTTTTTTAACATGTAGCCATTCTGTCGCCTTTTTTTTACCAATAATTCTCTACTTTTGAAAGGGCAACCAAAATTTTGCCAGGGCAAGTATGTTTTTTGGAATACTTGCCCGGCTGACGACTTTGAGAAAAAACGAATATGGATCCCTGTGTAGGTGTGGTGGACTAATGGTAGCTCGTTGGATGCCGGATCGAGCGGTCCAGGTTCGAGCCCTGGCCTGGTTCATTGTGTTGTGTTCTTGGGCAAGACACTTTACTCTCACATTGCCTCTCTCCACCCAGGAGTACAAATGGGCACTGGCAAACTGTTAGCCAGGGCAACCAAACAAAATGCTGAGGGGGAGGTTGGGGGGGGGGGGGGGGGAGAGAGGGGGTAATCTGGCATTGGACTAGCATCCCACCCAGGGGGAGTAGCAATACTCCTAGTCAGCTTCATGCTATGGAAACTGGGATAAGCTCCAGCAGTGTGGGCCAGTTTGACCCCGAACGGCTTACTGTACATGTAAGGTACCTGTACTTTGATTTCGTAATGTAGCTTTCAACTTGTTTGTTCCAGTTTGTTGAATTTTTATCATGCATGTTTTTACTTTGTAAAGATTTGTTTGTGGAGACAACAATGGAAAACCGGAAACACTTTCAAGGATATTACCACAATGAAGGAGTTCTGGATGGTAAGTTCAATTTGAACAATTTTTAATGGTATAATTCTTTGCAGAACCAAAAATCCCCCAAAATTATGAATAAGTGGTTCCAGAATATATCCATACCCATCCCAAAGAAGGTCATTGGAAATTCCGAGGGCGAGGGGGCTCTTAAAAGCCAAAATGGTTAAAGGAAACTATTGAGTATGAAGTTAAACTGGAATTTTTCTGGGGGTGGGTGTTCAAACCAAAAAAAACACTTTTGTGTGGGGGGAGGGGTATGGATATTTTCTGGAACCACACAATAAGATTAAGGTAACATACTAGTAAAATCAGTGGTCTATAACATTCATCACAGGATATTGTACTACTCAACAATACAAATTAAAGCACATTACGGTAAAACAAACATGTTTTTTAATTTATTAATAATAAATTTCTACATGTACATTTTACGGTGAAAATTTTGCAATGTTTTGAGGGTCTTGGTCAAAACCAGGGAACTTGACAAGTAACAAATTATTATTTTTTCCTAATGAGATGATCTCTTTACTTTGCTGATTTTTATAGTACACAAATGGGCCGTTGGCTGACGGCTTGTATTGGGAACAATACTACAATGACAAGAACGTATCCGACGAAGATCTCGGCTTCATCTATTTTGAAAACAAAATCCTTGGACGACCACGCATCAGACAACTGCGAGTCATGAATGATTCCTGCGAGTAAGTGAATGTCGATATTGTTGTCCATCGCTTTTGTGGGTGTGTGTGTGTGTGTGTGTGTGTGTGTGTGGGGGGGGGGGGGGGGGTTGAACTTCCCACTTCCCGTACCTTTGCAATGTTGCCTATTTCTCCAGGTTCCCTTAACTTTGGAATCCCACCTCCCACGGGGGGGACTCGCATATGAAAGTGACGGGGATGCTCGTCGGAAATTTCAAATTACACCCATAAAAGGGACCAATCTGGGTGTGGCTCAGCCTTTTTTTACCCCTAAAAGATACCATTACACACAGTATGACAGTGTTTTTTATTATTATTTATTCGCGTGCAACCCTAAAAGATACCTTGATGGCTAAAAATATTGGCGTTCTGTCCTGAACACCCCAAGGAGGACACCCTTAAAAGGGACAACGAACATCTCCGTCACTTTCGTATGGGAGCTCCCTCCCCCCTCCCCCCCGGTCTCTCTTTTCCCACCTCCTATAGACTTCCTTCCCCCTTTACTCTTGGGTCCCCCACCCACCCCCACCCCACCCCCCAGTCTACCACTTCCACATTTTTGAATCACTTGAAAATGCCTCTGGAATTTTATAGGACGAAACCAGGATTTATTCGCTGTTATGGTTATGTGTGTAAGACTGAAGATTGGACGACACACAAGCATGACACTTGCCCACATGTGGCAGGGTTGGCAGATACCTTATTTTCACGATTATTAACGCCCTGCTCCAAATAAATGCCGGGTTCAAATAAAGCGCGAGCCGCGCCGTGCGGAGGACGGGGGTGGGTCTATCCCGAGTACGGGTCTATACAGTCAAAGTTTTTAAAGAAATCACGCCAGCATTTAATTGACGGTCCCAGCATTATTTGGAAATTGTTAGGAACATTTTCAGAAATCCAGGGGTACATGTAGTTTGAAGATGAAAATGTCCCAATGTACATGTATTTCACTCAGGAAAAGTTTGGCAGGTTTTTATAATCAGGTAATTGTCAACGTTAAATTTAATTTTGTTACAAATTATTTATTCTTTTCAGTGTTCATGATGACTTCAAGGGATCTGTTATCAAAGAGTGCTATGCACCATACTCTCCAATCTGCTGCAAGACAAAGATCCATTTGGCTTAAAAAATGGAATCAGCCCGTGAGTGTTAAACCTTAAAAACTGGTTTACATAATGCTAGGTACTGTATCATGTAGTTAAAAGGGACACTGTCCTCATTTTAGCATGATTTTGGGAAGGCTCAGGCAGACAGAATAGAAGAAACATAATCTACAGAGAATAGGAAAGTTGATCAATAATGATTTGATTATGTAAGAATTAACACTCGACAAAAGACAGGCACCCCATTAGGCAAGCAGGAGGATGACGAACGACAGCCGGAGGATGGAAATGGGAGGAAAAGGATTGAAATATGGATTTTGAAAAAAAACGTCAGGATGTCAGTTTTTCAAAGTTTCAGATTTTTGCTCGGAAAATCTTCTTTGATAAAAAATTTTTTTTTCTTGCAAAAACAAAATTTTGTTTCATTTGCAGGTATGGAATTTCTTGAAGAGAATGCTTTTTTATCATTTAGTTATTTCATATATTTTCATTTCATAACAGTTTTGAGCAAACCTACTCCAGGACAGTGTCCCTTTAATACATGTAGGGGTCATTAAATGTGAGAGACAAGATTACTCAGACCCTCACAGTGCCTC